ACCATTCTTCACTCCCTCCCACAGCACCGACCATCAACTCACTCCCCACGACCTTCACTCCACCTCGCCTCCACCAAACACCCTGCCTCCAACTCCATGACGTAGCTGCAACGCATAACCACCCTCCCTCCCAACACCCTGTCACAGACCTTATGGTGTGCCGCACCCACTGCATCTCTCACACTTGTAGCCCTCCTCTCCAGCATAGACAATGTGCTGCACAACACACAGTCCAACGTCCCACCCACCCACCCACCCACTAACCCCCTCCATCATCCGATGCCTCTAACCAGTGTTTCGCTCCTCGTGCTGCTGATCAGCATAACACTCCTCCCTCGCCCACTTTGACACCACACTCACACACCAACACTCACCTACCGTCATTCCATCCTCTTCTCGCCCCTTCACCTCTTCCCATATGCTACTCCATTTGTGGAGTGTGTTTTGGTGTGCTGACTTGGGACGACAGCGTGGAGAAGTGGACCTCCACTGCAGCCTCCTGAGGAAGCATGACCTTCCCTTCATTGCTTCCCAACAACCCACTCACTGTCACCGACCATCCCATTCGGCCTTCGTCGAAACTCACATCACATCACCTTCACCAGACCACTCAGCGTGTGTCTCTAATATTTATTTATACGTGTGCATGTGTTTGTGAAGGCGAATTTTGCCTGACCCGCTAGCAATGCGAGAGTCAAAAAGGCCATGCTATCGCCAAACTGAAGCATGGGAATAGATCATGTCATAGTGTGGGATGAGAAGTGAAGGACGATTCGACCCTACCCTCCCCTCCTCCTCCTCCTTATTTCACTGTTCGCAAATTACCAAGTAGTAGTTGCCATCTTGGAGCTCCAGCATTGGAGGTGTAAATGGCCACGTGAAGAATGTACTAGACAGTCCGTTCGAATGTACCAAGGGGGTGGAGGTGAAAGTGATAGGATGGTCATCTGATCCACAGATGTATTACATGAATGTGGACTTTGTAGTTGGATTGTTTGGTTGACAAAGGCGGTATGTACGTAAACTAATAAGTAATTTCTTCTTGTTACGAAGTTACTACTTTTCATATGATAACTACCGGCGATATGAGACTTTCGTCAAAGTGTCATTGATATGCAAATTGGAGGAATACGCATTGTTATTCGTTCGACCGATCTATTTATGAGCCAAAATACAAATTCTTTATAAAGGTTGGAGTGAGCGCGTTCATTAAGTTAATGTGCTCCGTAGTAATATTTAATGAATCGCTGCATAAAATACTTATAAAGATTTATACCAAGACCCGTAATGATGTTAGATTCCGTGGATTTATTAAAACTGATGCGAAAATAGATCGTTGTGTAATGGCACTTCCGTATGCATAAAATTGCATAGTAGTAAGAATGCTGTAATGCCTTTTTTAAATACCAATATTCACTGAATGGGCAAGCACACACGTCAAATTACTGGAATTTAGTTTGCCGAACGCTCAAGAATAAAATTTCAGTGCCAAAAACGAGAACCTGCAATTGCTTAATGCGACTTATCTTTTTGTATTCATTCCCTTGCCACACAAATGATACTTATTAAAGGAGTCAAAAAGGGAAGGAAAGTACCAATTGCTCCCACCGCAGTATTGACTCTATTGCAAAGTTCTGATCAGAGAAAAAGTGGAGCGGACAAAAAATAGCCTGCGCTCGTGTCACATCAATTCATACAGTTGTTCTGTTTTTCTGTCATTCCCTCATTCTCCCTCCCACCTGTCCGTCCGTCTGTCTGTCTATCAAAACACACTGCCAAATTTGATGGTGTGGCCAAACTCAAGTGTAACGCCAATCATTCTCCCTATGCACCCCCTTCCACTATCTCCACCTGCCCCGCATATACAGAAGCTGGAGGAGATAAAAGCCCTAATCGATAGATCCAACTCTAACTCCCTCTCTCTTGCTCCGCCACTACCGCCCTCCCACCCCTCCTCACCCATATCCGATCTGTCATGACTACCTATCTACTCACCTGTCAAGTCAACCTGCTTGGCCAGGAAACTCAACTGACTTGGGGCGAAAAACATGTTGAATAGCTCACACACTATAACAATAAATAGCCAATTGGTCTTCGAGTAACACTTACGTGATGACTTCTGTTGCTGCTGTTGTTGTTGTTGTTGATGATGATGGAGACTGTGATGTTGAAGACGAGACTCATATGTCTCGCTCTTATTTCCCAATCCTCTTATCTCCGCATCCCGCTTCCGATGCAGTTTGCGACGACGTGGCAATCCACCCTTTTCTATATGTCGAAGAAATATATCTTCATCATCAATATCATCCATCACTGCCGCGGATGCCGAAGCTGACGTATGCTCCTCTGCAAACGACTCTTCCCCTGCTGTTGAAAGATTGAGCCCAGTATTCTCGCCATTTGATTGGCTTTCCGGGATTTGGAAGGCTGACGGTTCTGTATCAGCCATTCCTGGGAAGGGTGGAACCGTTTGATTCCTGCAGAGGCCCGCCATGGCCACAGCTGCAGCAGCCATCATGGCTGCAAGGGATGAGGATGTTGAGGAGGAGGAGGTGGCGGAGGATGATCCAGTAGAAGAGGCGTTTGCTCCCTCCATGGTAAAATTATTTGCAAGGTCCCCAGATTCCTTTTGTTGTTGACTCATCGCCGCAGAAAGCATTGATCTAAAGAGGTTGGGATTATGAGGAGGCACTGTGTGCTGAGACGGAGGTGGCGGTGGTGGTGGGGGCGGCGGTGGATGCAATTGTGGAGAAGCACAATGATCTCCAATAGAGCTATCAGGAGGGAATTGGGACATTCCAGCAGGCGAATGAGATGTCTGTTGACCATACCAGGCTGACAGTGCAGCGGTCAATGAGGTTGAGGAGATCGGTGGACCAGGTGGAGGGATGGAAGGGAGGCGGTTTTGTGTATCAAATGTTGGCGCCGCCAACTGGGAAGCGGAAAAGCCGGTGGTAGAGGATCGAGCTCGAGAGTCCGATTGTTCGGTGGTCTTGCGGTCGGATATCTGCTGCGTCACTAATTGCCGCATTGCTGTTGCGGCTGCGCTGGTCATCTGATCAAGCTTGGACAGACCACCAAAGGGCCAATAGGGGGTAGGCAACATGAATGGTGCCATTAGATCTGGAGCTTGAAGACTTTGCGAGAGATTCGGCATCCAGGGTTCGGATATGTCTGCAGGCTGGGGCGTTGGTTCGGTTAGGAGTGACGGCGAGAAGCATCGTTGTGTTCGTTTCCTAGGTGTTTCTTTTTCCATCTCTGGGGATTTGGTCGTCACCTTCACCGGGAGGTCAATAGACGAGTTTATTTGGTCTGAGCTGGAGGGTTTAGGCGCATCCTGTATTCAAAAGGTAAAGGAGACGTAAGTTTAACAACGCACGTGTGTAATCGCATTGAACTGACGTAAGAGCGGAAATGTCGAGAGCAGGGGAAGTTATTGACGTGGTTGTGAGATGTGACGAACGTGATATGTTTTCCGAACCCCCTGAAATCCTTTTTAAAGAATTTAGTTGTCGAAGGCTGTCTCCTATCAACACGTGGGTGAGGAGGGTAGGGAAGGGATGCCAATTGGAATTTAAAGAGGGGTCCATTATTGGAACACGCGAACAAATCATGGATGGGCACGCTAGCACTCATGCATCAACACAATAAACCAGGTGAGAGAGAGCGAGAGATAGAAGAGAGGGTCCAAGTCGTGATTTATTCGCCCAGCTGGTTGTACCAGTTTTCGGTACTTGGACCAATTAGAGATAGATAGAGAGAGAAGACGATTATCTCTGGATGAAGATAGAGGCACGCACACACCCTTGCATCCTCCACATGATCAGTGCCACCTGTGTTACGAAATGCGTGCGCACGTGAATTATTGGCATAATCGACTCCCTGCACAACTGCATGTCCGTCAATTAAGGCAACCAGCGAACAGCGAGTCATGACGATTCCTTATTTTTCCTACCAACATCACGCTCAGCTTTTGGCATACGACCTCTTTAAACACGTCTACACAACCATTTCTTGTTAGGTTGTATTAAGTAATGAACGGAAGTGTTCTCTAACAAATTGGTAGCCCTTAGGACAGATATTCAAAGGCAGGGGAAGAAATTGCAACGGAAACAAAACGTGAAAGTCACTTTCGCTTACATGAATGGGCCCTTGACTTTGGGGCATACAGATGTCTTTGCAAGCGTTCCTGTTATCATAAATAAATAATTTGCCAAACTCCCCTTCCATATAGGGGGATGAGCTTGCTAGTGTTACAAATACTCTGAACATTAGAACCATACTGAATGGCGCAGGTCATGGAAAATATAAGTGGCATTTAACGGAGCTGAAAACGACAAAAGTTTCAAGAAGGAATAAGTGTTTATTGATACTGAGATATCTACGGCATTGTTGATTTGATGGGAAACATTGTCTAAGCAGTACACGGCCATATCCTACACTTGAATAACCCAGAAAATGAATTGAGATTCAGAGAATGTTCAAAAACCGTAAAAATTCAACCTGTCAGTTCCCACCAAATATACGATTATAGATGTTAAAAGTTTGCAAAAATGGACCTGTTAAGCATTGATTACACTAAATTCTCTCCATAAACATCAAAAATTGCTTAAAAGGTCGAAAGTGATTATGACAAACCGGACCATTATTTTGAGGTTCGAATTTTTGCCCATTGGTGAAAACGAAAGACCCTAATTTTTGTCTATAAACGCTCCAAAGACAAGTATATATTGTACCGTGTCTTTTATTGGATAATAATAATAGTAATATTTTCTTTTCCCACTTAATCCCGTAGCTCATACCTCCATAAATAATTACACTCCTCCTCCAGTTTCCTATTAATTCACAAACACCGCCTTTGTCAATTAGAGACCGTTCATGTGGTTTATATTCAATCTCGGTTAACCCTTATATCCGCATGGGTCAAAGGTGGTACAGGGAAAAGGTATGAAGCACATGCGACACAATTACAGGTTGGTGGTTAATTGGAAGCTTTAGAGGAATGCTTTGAAATAAGGCAGGCAGTAAACGGAAAGGCAGCAGTACACCTGCCGCTTTTCTCTCAGCGACTAACAGCTTCTTTGATCGAAAAACCGCTGCCTGTTTACGGAACCGAACAAAGTCCACACACACACACACACACACACACACA